TGGACTAGTAACGGTAAGCATATTGAACAAAATCAACGCCCACAACTACTTTGTGTTCTACTCGTGCATAGTAACTACGCATAGACCTAGCTCATGATGCCACTGTTGGGGAACGTAGTATAAATTCAAAATTTTCCTACGTGTCACCAAGATCTATCCATGGAGTCATCTAGCAACGAGGGAGGAGTGGATCTACATACCCTTGTAGATCGCGCGCGGAAGCGTTCAAGAGAACGGGGTTGATGGAGTCGTACTCGTCGTGATCCAAATCACCGATGATCCTAGCGCCGAACGGACGGCACCTCCGCGTTCAACACACGTACGGAGCAGTGACGTCTCCTCCTTCTTGATCCAGCAAGGGGGGAGGAGAGGTTGATGGAGATCCAACAGCACGATGGCGTGGTGGTGGAAGTAGCGGGATTCCAACAGGGCTTCGCCAAGCGCTGAGGGAGGAGGGAGATGTTTCATGGGAGGGAGAGGGAGGCGCCAGGGCTTAGGTGTTGCTGCCCTCCCTTTCCCCCACTATATATAGGGCCAAGGGAGAGGGGGGCGTAGCCTTGGCCCTTCCTCCAAGGAAGGGTGCGGCCAGGGAGGAGTCCCTCCTCCCCAAGGCACTTCGGAGGTGCCTTCCCCCTTTAGGACTCTTCCTTCCCCTTATCTCTTGGCGCATGGGCCTCTTGGGGCTGGTGCCCTTGGCCCATATAGGCCAAGGCGCACCCCCTACAGCCCATGTGTCCCCCCGGGGCAGGTGGCCCCACCCGGTGGACCCCTGGGACCCTTCCGGTGGTCCCGGTACAATATCGGTGACCCTGAAACTTGTCCCGATGGCCGAAATAGCACTTCCTATATATAATTCTTTACCTCCGGACCATTCCGGAACTCCTCGTGACGTCCGGGATCTCATCCGGGACTCCGAACAACTTTCGGGTTACCGCATACTAATATCTCTATAACCCTAGCGTCACCGAACCTTAAGTGTGTAGACCCTACGGGTTCGGGAGACATGCAGACATGACCGAGATGACTCTCCGGTCAATAACCAACAGCGGGATCTGGATACCCATGTTGGCTCTCACATGTTCCACGATGATCTCATCGGATGAACCACGATGTCAAGGACTTAATCAATCCCGTATACAATTCCCTTTGTCTAGCGGTACGATACTTGCCCGAGATACGATCGTCGGTATCCCGATACCTTGTTCAATCTCGTTACCGGCAAGTCTCTTTACTCGTTTCGTAACACATCATCCCGTGATCAACTCCTTGATCACATTGTGCACATTATGATGATGTCCTACCGAGTGGGCCCAGAGATACCTCTCCGTTTACACGGAGTGACAAATCCCAGTCTCGATTCGTGCCAACCCAACAGACACTTTCGGAGATACCTGTAGTGTACCTTTATAGCCACCCAGTTACGTTGTGACGTTTGGCACACCCAAAGCACTCCTACGGTATCCGGGAGTTGCACAATCTCATGGTCTAAGGAAATGATACTTGACATTAGAAAAGCTTTAGCATACGAACTACATGATCTTGTGCTAGGCTTAGGATTGGGTCTTTGTCCATCACATCATTCTCGTAATGATGTGATCCCGTTATCAATGACATCCAATGTCCATGGTCAGGAAACCGTAACCATCTATTGATCAACGAGCTAGTCAACTAGAGGCTTACTAGGGACATGGTGTTGTCTATGTATCCACACATGTATCTGAGTTTCCTATCAATACAATTCTAGCATGGATAATAAACGATTATCATGAACAAGGAAATATAATAATAACTAATTTATTATTGCCTCTAGGGCATATTTCCAACAATCCCGCTGTTGGTTATTGACCGGAGAGCGATCTCGGTCATGTCTACATGTCTCCCGAATCCGTAGGGTCTACACACTTAAGGTTCGGTGACGCTAGGGTTGTAGGGATATGTATATGCAGTAACCCGAATATTGTTTGGAGTCCCGGATGAGATCCCGGACGTCACGAGGAGTTCCAGAATGGTCCGGAGGTAAAGAATTATATATAGAAAGTACTATTTCGGGCATCGGGACAAGTTTCGGGGTCACCAATATTATACCGGGACCACCGGAAGGGTCCCGGGGGTCCACCGGGTGGGGCCACCTGCCCCGGGGGGCCAAATGGGCTGTAGGGGTGCGCCTTGGCCTATATGGGCCAAGGGCACCACCCCCAAGAGGCCCATGCGCCTAGGGTTCAAGAAGGGAAGAGTACCAAAGAGGGAAGACACCTCCTAGGTGCCTTGGGGAGGAGGGATTCCTCCCCTTGGCCGCACCCCCCTAGGAGATTGGATCTCCTAGGGCCCCCCCCCTTGGCCCTCCTATATATAGTGGGGAGATGGAGGACTTCTTACCGCACGCCTTTGGTGCCTCCCTCTCCCTCTCCAACACATCCTCCTCCTCCATAGTGCTTGGCGAAGCCCTGTCGGAGTACTGCGGATCCACCACCACCACGCCGTCGTGCTGCTGTTGGAGCCATCTTCCTCAACCTCTCCTTCCCCTTGCTGGATCAAGAAGAAGGAGACGTTACGCTGACCGTACGTGTGTTGAACACGGAGGTGCCGTCCGTTCGGCGATAGGATCTCCGGTGATTTGAATCACGTCGAGTACGCCTTCCTCATCCCCGTTCTTTGAACGCTTCCGCGCGTGATCTACAAAGGTATGTAGATGCAATCCGATCACTCGTTGCTAGATGAACTCCTAGATGGATCTTGGTGAAACCGTAGGAAATTTTTTGTTTTCTGCAACGTTCCCCAACAGAAACATCTACAACCAGACATAGCAAATATGACCCCTTAAACGCATCATCATCATTGTTTGGTGTGTCCGTTTTGAGCCTCTATTTATGTGTCCGTGTAGGCACACTCCTCATTTTTCTTCTCATATGTCCGATCATTTGCACATAATTGATTGAGATGAAGAAAAAGAAATAAAAGAATGAGTAAAGAAAAAGAAAAGGTGGTCCAGGGTGGGGCCGCGACCTACGCGGCGGAATGCCTGAGTGCGTCCACGAGCCCTCATATCCTCCCCCATATTTGAGATGGATATGAGTGTCCGTGGACAGGCGTATAGGGATGATATAAAGAGTCCAATTGAGTCACGTTTTTCCCCATCTCTCTTGTTCAGCCACTGACCGGGCGCGTCCGCAGGCATATGAGGGATGATTTGAGGCGTCTGGCTGTAGATGTTCTAAGCCATGCCTACGAGGTCCGCAGGCTACTTGGCTTAGTTTAGATTAGTTTTGGTTGAATCTATTTCAAACCTGTTAAATTCCGTCTATGCTTGCAAGTATTTATAACGTGCTAGCTTAAATTCTGTCCGTGTTCGAATGTATTGATACGACACGGTTGAATGCCCGACACCCGGCTACGTGTCCATGTCCTGTGTTCGGAGACATTTTCGGCAGAAATTTGGCGATCCGAGGCTTCTTCCAATGCTTCACCTTGGACAGGTGTTAAGGTTGCCAACTAAGCGAAAAGTCTGATGTGACATTGCTAGTTAAGAGGAAACGATGCTAAGCACGTGTACCTAGGTGGAAGCATAATTTTAAGTCTACAATTAATTAAATGCATGAAGCTTAGCACCCAAAAAATTAACACCTTTGCATTAGGACTAGAGTTGTTAAGGCATTTAGTATACTTAGCACCTCATCTAAGTATCTTTGCATTGGAGGAGGTCTGAGATGCGCTCGCACGAGCCGAGTCAGAGATCGCGCGCACTGCACAATGCACATGCATTTAACTCGGGTATAAACGACGCAGTCCTGCCCCCCACCGAACACTGGCTCACAGTCGGTCACTACTACGACCACGGGCGGGGTCAGCCGGGTTCACAGAGTAATTAACTCGCGGCGCAACACACTTCCACCCACCTACTACCACTACACGTCTACACCACGCAGCAAACTACACAAACAATAATGCTAAACGTACTACAAGGAGTTAGGGTATTAGTTTCACTGCATTATCTTGCTCCATTGCAGCGTCTGCTGTGAAAATGGGCAAAACTGATCTTTATCCGAAACCTCAACACAAAGGGTATGTTTGGTTCTTGCCTATGGCTGCCCTGCCAATATTGGCTTGCCAATTATTTGGCGTGGGATTCCAACGCCCAGGGTTAGCCAAAGATTTGGCAAGAATCTGTGAAGGAAGCAACAATGGACTCATTGGTAGCCAAAAATTTGACAACAAACCAAACAACACATAAGAAATTTGACGTGACCAATATTTTGATAGGATGAGTTGGAGGTATAAACCAAACAAGCCCAAAACGACCATAATTTGGAAAAATTCATGAAATGGTCCTTTTTGTATGACGTTCGTGGCTAGGGCATCATGCTAGCTAGCATGACGCCCTTAGGCTAGGGCGTCATACTATTTGGCATGGTGTCCTAAGCCGGGGCGCCATACTACATGTCGTTACCATGACGTCCTAGCCCAGGGCGTCATGCTCTCTAGCATGTCGCCACAGCGCGAGACGTCATGCAAAAGAAGACTATTTCATGAAATATTTTTAGATTAGGATTATTTTGTCAGGTAAAGGCCAGATTTGTTTATTTTGACGCGTCTGCTGGGCTCTTCACGTTCAAAACCACCATTATCAAGCAGCAGCACAGCACTGACAGTTTTTTTTACTCCTTGTTTTGTTTTGTTACCTTTGCACCCATCCCCATCGCCCGGCGCGGCGCCGTACAGTAATCACGGAGCGCGCGGCGCCCTCGCTGCCTCGCACTGTCACCTGTCGCCGCAGAGCTGCGGGAAAAGCGGCAAAAACCCACGCGGGCCGCGCCCTGGGCCTACCCCCCTGCGCCGCACCCCGCGCCGCGCCTGGGCCGCCGCACGGCTCCTCTCTTGGGTCTCCACCCGCGGTCTCTCCAGTCCACTCCTCTCCTCACCGCCGCCGCCGAGGATGGCCGCGCGCGCCGGGAACAGAGCCGGGTGAAAGCGGGCGAGCGGACCAGGGAGGGAGCCCTCCCGCGATGGCCGCCACTGCGGGCGGCGGCGGCGGCGGCGGCCCGTGCTTCTCGATCCGGTACCGCCTGAACTCCTTTTCCCTCCCCCGCATTGCGCGCCGCCGCCGCGCGCCCACGGGGCGAAGCTCTGATGCTGTTCTTTCTGTTTTGTGTGTGTTCTGAACGGAAGGGGGTACGCGGCGCGGGCGCGGGCTGGCGCGGCGGACGAGGGCGGGAGGTGCTGGCCGCTCGGCGGGCCGCCGGAGCCGCTGCCGCCGATGGAGGTGCGGCGGTTCCGGTGGTGGGCGGACGAGGCGGCGCTGGCGGACGACATGGACGAGGGGGAGGAGGAGCGGAGGAACGCGGCCATGCGCCGGAAGCGCTCCGTCGTCGAGCTCTTCGCCGCCGTGCCGCGGGTCGCCGGCGACGACGGGAGGAAGGTCAAGAGGAAGCTCGACAAGGGGAAGCAGCCGGCCGGGGCTCAGGCCAAGAAGGGGCCCAAGAAGGACAAGGCCCCGGCTGAGATTGCCGCGAGGAAAAAGGTGCGGTTTTTCTTCTACTTCTACCAAGCTCGCATCTGCATTACTTGGGTTTGGATTGGAATGCGTTTGTTGGGGATATTGTGTGCCTGGTTTTCCGGCATCTATAAAATTTGTCCGAGCTCTGTGAAGCAATTTCCGGCCATGGGAGAAGTGATCTTGCAAGCAGTTGAATGTGGATCCAGCGCAATGGCTTGCCAGGAAGATTGTATCGAGCGGATTAACCTTCATCAATCAAATCTCTAACAACCAGATAGTTTCTGTCTCCTCCTCCTCACACAAAGGCGGCTAGGGTTTCCTCTCTCTTCTCCAGATCTATTGGAGTTTGGTCCTTTCGTCGCTTCGGCATCCATGGGTGGCGCGGCGGCAGCGTCAGTAATCTTCTAGTAGCTTTCTCGTTGCAACAGTATTCTGTTGGTCAGTGGAGGTGTGCTAGAAGTGTTAGCACTTAGCAGCACTGGTGGCTATGCCAGATCTGGTTTAGGATGATGATGGACCTTCGTTTTGCTTGGTGCAGGATGGTTGGTTCGCTTTCGTCATGCAGACCATGCGCAAGTGGTGGCACCGGGTCGGAGTGCCCACAAGCTTGGGGCGTGGCCCTGCTGATGTTCCATCGACGTTGTCTTAGTCCCGTCGCTAGGGTTTTGGGCTTCAGTTGCAATCTTCAAATGCCATGAGGCAATTGGAGCTCATTAGGTGCTTGTGGTGGTTTATTTTATTTGTGCAGCGTTGGCTGCTCTTGTCCTTGTAATTGTTCCCTTAAGATAAATCAGATCTGACATGCCTTTGAGTGTTTTCCTGTAGAAAAAAGCAAGCTTGTATTGATGACTTGCAAGTAAAGAATAGGTGTGGATTGTGTTTAACGTGCTCTTACCATAAGCAGTATGTCGGTCCGTGCTTGCTCGTGCACTCTTCTGTTCTTGCTCCCTTACTTCCTGATAAACCAGTAAATGGCCAAAGCTTCATACTTGTATCATGCGCATTGGTAGGTACACCCACCTACTCAACTTTGTCGCAAAACGTCGTACTGTAAAACATGATTAGTGTACAATCAATATATATATATATATATATATATATATATATATATATATATATATATATATATATATATATACACTTTGAGTTGAGTTGCATGGTGACATCTTAATTATGTTGCAATTGGACTCTGTATGTGCTATACTGCTTTTCTAAATGTGAAGGCTATCTCACTTAGAATGGTGATCTGTCATCTTTTCCTTTTCAGGAGAAAAGTGAAAATGCGAACGCTAACTCACTTAGCATTTCCCAATTATTTCAAGATGCCATACAAAAGAGGAAGCTGAAAAAGTCTCCTAGCAAGAAAAGGAAAAATCAAGAGGTCTCAGTTTTACCGAACAAGAAAAATATAAATGGAAGCAAGAAGTCAGTTTTGTCTAATCAGAAGGCTATGGAGAATGGTTGTGAAGTTCAAACCATTCTTAAGAAACACTTAGGAACAGGAGAGGGCACATTTCTGAAAAACTCTGATGTCACGTGTCCGTCAAAGTCTTCTCTCAAATCAAAACATGTTACTTTTTCGGACACAGCTGACATATGTGGGTTGACTGCCTCCCAAACTGAAGATAACACGGAGCAATCACAGGTGGTTCAGGCATCCCAGCAACCGTCCCAGAGAGACAATTCTCAGGTAGTCAATGATCAGCGCAATACAGAAGAGCCAGAGTTGGTGCATCAGCGGATAGATGCTTTATCGGGGACTATTGAGCAGGATAGCAGCTCTTTATCTGAGAAGGTAGGTTCAACTGGTGCCTCCCATACTGTTCCACTTACCAAACCTGTGTATCTGAGTCATTGCATAGAGATCTCTAAGAGGGACAACGGCAACCGTTTGAGCTCCATGAGCTCAGCTGCCCTGCCTAGTCCAGGGCTTGCTCAAAAGTCTGCTGGCGTTAATTTCCGTTTGCAAGAAGGCCCATGTCTTGGTATTGGGCGTCAAGCTGAAGAAAACTGTCAGATGATGCCAAGAGGACCATCTGTTCCTGCTGGTTTAGCAGTCAACAAAAGACCAGAATATCTTATGAGAACTCCATTGCCACATCCTTATAGTTCTGGCTATGCTGCTTCTCTCAAAGAAGCATTGGATAGGAATAGAAGCACAATTCTTCAGGAAAGGTTGATTGCTAATTGCCACTTGACAGAAGTTCATCCTAGTGTTCTTAGATCTGGTAATGACGTGGTGAGCAATATAAACACCTCAACAGGGTCAAACAAATCAACAAATGCACAACCTACAGTCTGTGTATCTGCATGCAGGAACATGTACAGTGACGGCTATATGGGTCTTCCTATTAATTCGCATGGTGAATTTGTCAGGGTTCAAACTGGTGGTACCCTTAATCCCGATGAGCTGCTTAAAACACAATGCTTGGGGAAGGATTCTTTGCATCCTTCAACACCTCCAACTTTCTTCACACCTAATACTTCCTTGGATTATGCCCATTTGAGAATCAACCATGAAGCCCCACCATTTTTTACAGTTGCTAATTTTGGTATTCAGCCAGACCCTCGTCTTATCCCCACAATGCCAACTGCACTCAGTATGGGGTTCAGACAGCATCCCAGCTCTGAAAGAGTGGAAGCTCATAACCATGCAATTCCCAGCAGCATATATTCATGCAGGAACCAGCAAGGGAGTTCAGAGCAATGTTTGGGCGCTCGATTCCTGGGACATGATGATCAACTGCTGAAGTCACTTGAGATGCAAAGCTGTTTCCCAAGACAGAATTATAAGCAGAATATCCAACCTGCTGCTGAAACGACGATGCGCCTAATGGGCAAAACAGTTAGTCTTGGAACCGGCATTGGGGGTTTAGAAAACTGTGGTCCATGTTCCAGTAACCAAATCAGAGCTGAAGATCGTTGCTTTCTGGGGATGTACACACAAGTTTCTCCGCAATTGTTTCATGAAGGTTTGGTTGATCCTGCTGCAACATTTAGGATTTTGAATGGAGGAAGACCACCATCTGAATATGCATCACGTTTTTCTTCTGTTCCAGCAGCTGAGCAAGGGCCCGGTTTCAGCAAAAGTAATCAGAGTCGTCAACATCAACTAGCCGTGCCAAACAAGGTGTCTATGCAACCGGTGAGCAGGTACAATGAGGTCAGACTGGGGCATCAGCAACCAGCTGTGGCAAATCAAGTTCAGAGTACTGCTAATCATCTACAACCTGGTCCTGCGCACTGCGGACGTACCGCTAGTGTTGCAACAAAGCCATCTTACGATCCATGGAACAAGTTCAAAAACATTGCAGAAACAAGACCAGGGCCATCTCAGTTCAGCCTTTTCCCTGAAAACAGCAGCAGCATGACACAAATGACCCCAATATCCAACTGTATGTCTGGCTACTCTGTTCAGAGCACTGCTGCACCATCAACAACTCAAACAAAGTTTACCTCACTCCGACCATTGCCCCCTTCAATGGTCTCTTCTCATGTTTTTAGCAGTGAAGCTGCACGGCCTCATGGATCTACTGCACCCCGGCCACTAGTTCCCCTGCCTCGTGAACCAGGTAAAAGTAATGCTCCAGGTGGTGTGATCTTTGAAGACAAGGGGAGCATGAAACAGGCCACCGTAGTAGTATCAAGATCGAGTCTTGAGAGTTCGAAGCAAATGAACAAGAGTTTCAAAGGACCGGCAGAAAAGGATGATGTGTTATTGACATCACCAAAAAAACCTTGCATAGCAGTACGAAAGGACCTAAATCCGCCTCCACTCCTGGTAGAAATCTATGGATCCAGACCAGGTGGGCAGCCCCGAGATATGCCAGTTCGTCTCAACGGTGGGCAACCCCGAGATATGCCAGTTCGTCTCAACGGTGGGCAACCCCGAGATATGCCAGTTCGTCTCAACAGTGGGCAACCCCGAGATATGCCAGTTCGTCTCAGCGGACCTGAAACAATTCTTCGAGCTGTAACCAGTGGTGCAAATACACGTTCGGCGTTGACAGATTCTTCCAGTACTGTGGGTACTAGACCTGTTAAGTTGCAATCTGGAGCAAAGCACATACTCCAGCCATGTGCTAGTGCTAGCTTGGACCAGGTGGATTCCTGGCCTGTGCGTTCGGTCATACAGCTTGAAGTGGAGAATGATGCTCGCGCAGTAGGTGCGTCGAAGAAGACCGACCTGTGCTGAAGCTGCAGAGTTTAACCGTTCCCAGGGTTAATGAGTCTTTTCGTCGTCATCGGACTAGCTAATCATGAAGATACTTCGTACCAAGCCCAACCTGAAACCAGATAAATGATCTTATGGGACGGAGCTGGCATCTTGCATCAGTTTCTCCCGTAATATCGCTAGCCCTTCCCTACTGTTGTTGTTGTTGTAATATGCTCCTGGCTCCTCCATTTAGGTTAGATTGTATTTGTCCTCAAGCAATCGGCAGCATCTCTGCCCTTTCATCTTGGTTAGATGGTAGTTTCAGCTGGGATAGATGGAGTTTTCCAGCATTGGAAGAGAAGTTCTATTATTTTCCAACTTTTCATGTTGAAACCATTGTTGTTTGTTTGTTTTCGAGCGATCAATCGTCGAGAGCCCTGCCTTTTCATCTTGGTCAGATGGTAGTTTCAGTGCTGCCATAGGTAGAATTTTCTAGCATTGGAAGGGAAAATCTGTTATTTTCCTCATGTGACTTTGGCAGTGGTGGTAATACGAAGCCCCAAGCTTGTTGCATTCCTATTCATATGTTTTTGCAGACTAAATTCTTCCAGCAAATTAATGAATTCTGTGAACTGCAAGCTATTCTTCTCAGCCAAAGACAGTTGTTTATACAGTATTATATTAAATGCTGCACAATCGTAGTACATGGTTGGTTGCCCATCTGAAGCACTGTGAACTGAGTAAGAGGGTACAGTTGGTGCAAAATTCAGACGCAAACGTATCATCTTGTATGTGCTGGTACACCGTAGAATCAGAATTATGCATATTTTTCACCGACACCAACGGCGGCGGCCGTCGCCCCTCCCTCCGACGAGCGGGCGGGCTAGAGGCTTGCAAGGGTGCGGAGGTCGACGGGGTGCACGTCGGAGGCGAGCCGGGCGGCGTAGGCCCGCTGGCCGACGAGCACGTTGGCGGCCTCGGTGGGGTGGAAGGCGTCCCAGAAGAGGTACTCGTTGCGGTTGGGGCACGGCGTCTGGAACGGCAGGCAGGTGACCTGCCCGTTGTTCCGCCCCACGCCGCAGCAGCCCCGGTTGGTCACCTTCAGGCCATGGCCGCCCGGCGCCCGGAGGATGTCGGAGAAGATGCCGTCGATGTTGATGTAGGTGAAGTGCGCGCCGGGGAGGAGGCGGTTGAACTGGTCGACCATGCCGACGAGCCGCTGGTTGAACATCCGGACGGCAACGTTGATCCGGTCGACGCAGGCCACGCCGTTGGCGCTCTGCGTGGCCAGCTCGTTGGGGCTGCACCCGACCTGCCCCACGCCGATGAGCGCCACCTTGCGCGCCCCGTAGCTGTAGAGCGCGCGCAGGAGCTGCGTGTAGCGCGCCGCCAGGTCGTCGGCGTACTGCGCCGGCGTGTAGCGGCTGCCGGTGTTGTAGAAGGCCGGCATGAAGTAGTTGTTGAGGTAGTCGTTGCTGCCCATGCCGACGGTGAAGATGCACTGGCTCAGGCGGTTCGCCGCCGCGTCCTCGTCCCCCAGGATGCTCACCAGCTGCTCCACCGCGCTCTGGTAGTTCTGCACCTGCCCGCTGAAGCTGATGCGCCCACCCTGCAGCCAGAAGCATCTCTTGAGGAATCGGCATGACATTCGAGATTGCTACGTAGTAACAGAGCGCGTAGTAGCATGAAGGTGGTAGTGGACTACGTGACGTACCAGCTGCTGCCCGGTCTCTTCCCGGATGCCGGCGGCGGCGGAGGCGAAGTTGACGCCGGTGAGGAGCTGGTCGCTGGTCGCGCCGGCGAAGGGGGGGATGAAGTCGTCGAAGCCCAGAAGCTTGGCTGCACCCAGCGCAAAAAATTCCATGATGACCTATGAAAGAAATATTCTGGAATAGCAGAGGTCTTAAGGACTTGGCTAAACGTAGGTTTCTAGCGGAGGCATCTTTAGAGCACCGGTTAGACTTCATTGCACTCTCTGAAACTGGTAGGGATAATTTTGCGCCACAGTTTCTTAATGCGCTGTCGGGAGGTGTGGATTTCGATTGGCATTGTCTTCCTCCAAGAGGGAGGTCCGGTGGCATCTTGCTTGGTGTGAGATGTGATTCCCTTGAAGTCCGGAGCGTTGTTATGGGTGACTTCGCGGTCAAATTTCGAGTCCGGTCTAAAGTAGATGGGTTTAACTGGGTTCTGGTGGCGGTCTATGGGGCCGCACAACCTGAGCTTAAACCGGAATTTCTGGCCGACCTGGTTCGTATTTGTGGATCTGAGCAACTCCCCATTTTGGTTGGGGGGATTTCAACATCATTAGGAGGAGGGATGAGAAGAATAATGATAACTTTGACGGCCGATGGTCTTTTATGTTTAACACCATCATTGAGAGTTTGGATCTGAGAGAGATCGAGCTTTCTGGTCGACAATTCACCTGGGCTAACTCTTTACCCAATCCGACATATGAGAAGTTGGATCGGGTACTAGCAAGTGCCGAATGGGAACAGAAGTTCCCCCTCGTCACGGTTCAGGCTCTCACGTGCGGGATTTCGGACCACACGCCTTTGTTTGTAGACTCAGGTGAGCCAAGGATTGTGGGAAACAAAAATACCTTGTCTTTTAAAACGGCGTGGTTTGAACGAGAAGGTTTTCTGGATTTCGTAGCCAGGGAGTGGGCTACGGATACTGGAGGAAGATCGTCTGTCGAGAGATGGCAGAATAAGATTAGGCATTTGAGGAGCTTTCTCCGGGGATGGGCAAAGCACCTAAGTGGAGTTTATAAGATTGAGAAGGACAGACTCCTGGATCTTATACAATCCCTAGATGTTAAAGCTGAATCAACAATTTTGCAGTCTGCTGAATTGACTTGTAAGCTTGATGCGGAGAAGAGGTTAAAGGAACTCCTCCGCGAAGAAGAGCTGAAGTGGGCGCTCAGAGCAAAGGTTCGGAAAGTAATCCAAGGGGATGCGAACACTCAATTCTTTCACCTTATTGCGAATGGCAAACACAGAAAGAAATTTTTTTTCCAGCTCGAGCAAGATGAAGGCACAATTGTTGGTCACGATAATCTAAAGCTTTACATCACCGAATATTATAAGCAGTTATTTGGACCGCCGGAGGATAGCGCTGTGTCTCTCGATGAGTCCAGGTTTGAGGATGTGCCTCAACTAACTGCTTCTGATAATGCTATTTTGGTTGCGCCGTTTACGGAAAAGGAGGTTTTCGATGCCATCTCTCAGATGGAGAACAATAAGGCTCCCGGGCCGGATGGGTTTCCGGCGGAGTTTTATAAAAAATGCTGGCATATTATCAAGGGGGATCTTTTACCCATGTTTCATGACCTTTTTGCTGGACGGCTTCAACTATTTCACTTGAACTTTGGAACCATAACGTTGCTACCAAAAAAGACCGATGCTCTGAGGATTGAGCAGTTTCGGCCTATCTGCCTTTTGAATGTTAGTTTCAAAATTTTTACCAAGGTTGGGACTAGGCTCACACAGATTGCGCATTCTGTGGTGCAGCAATCCCAGACAGTTTTCATGCCGGATAGAAACATCCTAGAAGGGGTGGTGGTTTTGCATGAAACGCTCCATGAAATCCACTCGAAGAAACTCGATGGAGTCATTTTTAAAGTGGATTTCGAGAAAGCGTACGACAAAGTTAAGTGGCCTTTCCTGCAACAAGCTTTGCGTATGAAAGGGTTCGACGACGTCTGGAGGAGCCAGATTGAATCGTTCATGCAAAAGGGTAGTGTTGGCATTAAAGTGAATGACGACATTGGTCATTACTTCCAAACACACAAGGGCTTGTGGCAAGGAGATCCGATGTCCCCTATTCTGTTCAACATAGTTGTGGACATGTTGGCAGTTCTGTTACAGAGAGCCAAGGAGGCTAGCCAAGTAGGAGGCTTGGTGCCTCATTTAGTGGATGGAGGAATTTCCATCCTACAGTACGCTGATGACACTATCATCTTCATGGAGCATGACTTGGTAAAAGCAAGAAATATGAAGCTGTTGCTTTGTTTGTTTGAGCAATTGAGTGGGCTCAAAATTAACTTCCACAAAAGCGAGTTGTTCTGTTTTGGTAGAGCCAAGGAGGAACAAGAAGCTTACAAACAATTGTTTGGATGTGGTTCGGGGGAGCTGCCATTCACATACCTAGGAATTCCTATACATCACCGTAGGCTTACGAACAACGAATGGAAGTGTATCGAGGATCGATTCGAGAAAAAGCTAAGTTGTTGGAAGGGTAAGCTCATGTCATATGGAGGCCGTTTAATTCTTATTAATTCGGTGCTCACGAGCATGCCCATGTTTCTTTTGTCTTCCTTTGAAGTCCCAGTTGGTGTAAGGAAAAGACTGAACTTCTATCGATCGCGTTTCTTTTGGCAGGGAGATGAGCTAAAAAGAAAATACCGGTTAGCGAAGTGGGATATCATTTGTAGGCCGAAAAACCAAGGGGGTATGGGGATTGAAAATCTCGAGGTTAAGAACCGATGCCTTCTTAGTAAGTGGTTGTGGAAGTTATCTTCAGGAACTGACGCCACTTGGGCTCAAATCCTTCGTAATAAGTATCTTCAAACCAAAACTTTGTCTCAGGTCACGGTTAGACAAACTGATTCACCCTTTTGGAAAGGGCTCATGAAAGTTAAGCTTTCATTTTTTCAGAGGGCAAAGCATATAGTTGGTAATGGTGCCAGCACAAGATTTTGGGAGGATACTTGGCTCGAAGGTACACCCCTTGCAATCCAGTATCCATCGTTGTATCGTGTTGTCCAAAGGCGCGATGCTCTGGTTGCAACGGTCTTTCTTTCGATACCCCTTAATATTCAATTTAGAAGATCGTTAGTGGGCAATCGTTGGGAACAGTGGCTACATCTAGTTAGGAGACTGATGCAAGTCCAACTTTCACAACAACCTGATAAACTGCGCTGGAATCTCACTAGGTCGGGTGAATTCACAGTTAAATCAATGTATGTTGATGTTATTAATTCGAGCTCGATTCCTTCTTCCAAGCATGTGTGGGATGTCAAAGTTCCTTTAAAGATCAAG